AAAAAACGGCAGAGGCTGAACAATTACAAAATGATATTCTGGATTTTAAAAATTGGAGGCAAGTTAGAATGGATGTCTATTGTCAGTGTAAGCCAAGGAGATCAGGGAATATCACCAGAAGGTGCATCCTCATGATTCAGCTCCTTCTATGAAAAGGATGTTCACATCAAAAAGGAAACTCTAATGATTTAAGAACTGGGGCTTTTATGAATTTCTCACTAGTAACCACTGAAAAGGTGTTGGAAGAGAAATACTTTCCCTTGTGGTCATTTTTGTGTATAAAAATTTTGCGACGTGATGTGAGGACTATTGTTAAAGCTCAAGGCAGGGCAGACATGGAGTGGAACTTTCCATCTATGATGTGACCTGCTCTCAGTAAGGTCAGCTGACCCTCGTTGAAGCCAGCTCATCTGCACAGTGGCATCCTGCATTGACTGCTTTTCAGGTCAGAGCTGTTGTGCTTTACAGTGTTGAGGGCAGGTGTTTTGGGAGGGTGTGGTAACCCACGCCCACAGTACTTGGGAGGCAGAGGCAGGTGGATCTCTGTGAGCTCCAGGCCAGCCTGGAATGCAAAAGGAGTTCCAGAACAGCCAGGGCTGCACAGAGAAACCCTGTTCAAACAAATAAACAGAAACAAGAGTTTCACTATCATAAGACATTAACTCTGAGGCAGAGGATCCCTTTCATTCAAGTCACTTTGGCCTAAATGAAGCTCCCTACCGACAGAGTGGAGGCAGTTTCATGGACCAACATGACTGTCCCAAGTACAGTTAGGACCTGGGTCCTGACTTAGCTCATGATCTTGAATTAAGGTTGATTTTAGGGCTTAAACAAATAAATAAACAAGTTGGTGGTACACAACTATATTATCAGGACCAGAGTGCTATAGGCTGGAGAACCAGAAGGGCATGGCCATCGGGACAGTTTGAGACACAAGAGACTATGTCATTAAAAAAATAATAAAAAGCAAGTGTTTAATCACAAGCATGTTTATAAGAACTTTTGTTTCCTTGTTCTGGGAAAAGAACAAATTACTAGCAAGGCAACAAAGCATACTTACCAGGTTGAACTTGCAGTGAGGTGGTCAATCTCTGTACACCATTCCACCCCTTCATTTCCACCCGACAGCAGTAGAGACCACTGTCACTCTCAGTGACATTCTCTATCGTCAAGGACACATCTCCTTGAAGAAGCTGCCCCTTCAGCTGGTAGCGATTATTTGTCCGATAGTAGATTCTGTGTCCATCAGTCCAGATAAGTGTTTGTCCACATGTGTCAGAAGCACATGCCCCTCGGCCCCAGCACATGGATGAGAGTCCGTTAGACACTGGGTAAGTACATGGCAGTGTCACAGGGTGACCCATCACTCCATGCACTTGTGGGAAAGAATCCACGGCAGCTGTGATCAAAAGGTGGAATTGGAGAATGAGCACTCAACAGTTTCCTACAATTGATTCTACTTCTTCGTTTCTTTCCCATTTTCCCTTTTTGGCTGCAGATTAAACCTGGGGGCATGAGAGGTAAGTGCTCTATCACTGTGCTCCAGCACCAGCTCCTCTTTGCAGTTTTCTTTGTAGAGTTTTCATAGCTTAACATTTTCACTCTAAACAAATTTCTGTTAGCTTACTCTTCTTCTGTGTGGTTATGTAATGGTCATGTGTGTGGATAAAGCAACTTACCGCACAGTATTATATTCACACTGTATCTTTTTAATTTTTTTGTATTTCTTTCCCTTTCTTTCTCTCTTTCCTTCCTTTCTTCATCTTCTTTCCTTCCTTCCTTCTCTCTTTCCTTCCTTCCATCCTTCCTTCCTTCCTTCCTTCCTTCCTTCCTTCCTTCCTTCCTTCCTTCCTTCTTTCTCTCTTTCATTCTTTTTTTTCTTTTTGAGACAAAACTTACTAGGTAGTTCTCACAGGCCTAGAACCCTCTATGTAGAATAGGCTAGCACAAAACTCATAGAGATCTACCTAACTCTACCTTCTGACTGCCAGGATTAAAGGCATGTACCACCAACCTGACCTGTTGGTTTGTTTTTAGACAGGGTCTTGCTCTGTAGCCCAGGCTGGCTTGTCCTTTTACAACTGCTTTCCCAGAAACTGTGCATGATGATGGGTGCCTGTCAAACTGGAATTCGAAGGTGAAGTCAGGAAACTAGTGAATTCAAGACCAACCTGAGCTTATGAGGCCGGTTGTCATTGCTACTGACAATGAAATCACTGACTTTAGCCACCTCTCCTGTACAATGAGCAGGGCCCAGGTTTCGTTTCCAGCATTGTGGGTAAATGGCAGAACTTTACCAACTTCAATATCAGTTTTCAGATTGGCTTTTGTTTACTCACCTGGTTTTCGTTGGTTTTTTTGAGACATGGTCTTGCTATGTAACCCTTGACTGGCTTCAGTATTTAGAACTTTGTGTGTAGAACAGGGTGCCTGAATTCAGAGATCTGCCTGCCTCCACCTCCCCACTGCTGGGATTAAAGATGTGCACCAGCAGGACAAGCTCAGGATGGGTTTTGTAATACCATCAGGAGGACTGGGGCTTTAGGATCAGTTCTTTAAAAAATTAAGGAAAAAAACTGAACAAGGATCCCATCTTTTTTTTTTTGGTTTTTCGACACAGGGTTTCTCTACGTAGCTTTGTGCCTTTCCCAGAGCTCAATTGGTAGCCCAGGCTGGCCTCGAACTCACAGAGATCCACCTGGCTCTGCCTCCCTAGTGCTGGGATTAAAGGCGTGCGCCACCACCGCCTGGCTTGGATCCCATCTTATATGCTGGTAACATTCCAGAAACTGAACAACATTCACTTGTAAAGTGAGACCACAAAATTGCAATGTTAAATCAAGAAATAAACCATACAGCTTTTAAACCTAAAATAATAGTTTTAATATGTATCTGTTGAGATGATGGATTAAATGTTTCCAATTGCTTCCAGTAAGGGAGAGCTGAGGGCTGAAGAGGCAGCCTCAAGGGTACCAGGCTCTCCTCACCCATGATCCTCTGGCTGGATCCCAGCACAGGAATAAACAAATAAGCAAACAGCACAAAACTGTGAACTGTGAGATCCACTCACTAGTCACCTATATTCAGGCCTAGGTCATGAGTTTGGGATCTAGTTGGAGAAAGCACGTTTCTTGTTCTATAACATTAGTGTGTAACAGGTGTATATATCTCACTGGGACACTAAGTACTTGATTTTTGCCTAATACTTTTTTTAGGATCACAAATATAACACTTGCCATCATAAGAAAATTATAGGAATATCTGATAAGAATTAACAACCTCCCACAATCTCACTTCCTAGAGGTTAGATTGTAAAATTTGTAATATATACCAGGTGTAGAGGCTCACAACTATAATCTTAGCTGTTGGGAAGCTTGAGGTTATTCTCAGTTGTCTATAGTGTGTGGAGGCAGCCTAGGCTACCTTAGACCTTGTCTCAAAAGAATTAATATTCAATCCACTATCTACCCCTACATCCTAGAATTTTTTCAGTTAGGATGTTTTAATTAAATAATTGAAAGTGAATGTCTTTTTCTTTTTCAGGTATATATGCACCAAGTGAAGGTTTGGTGCTCTTTCGTGTCCTTTCTTTGGCCCTCAGACTTTGACTATAGCATGCACATACATGTACTCACCGTCACTTGAATGTAACATGCATGTAAATATATTCCCCCCTTACTTGACGGACTTGTGCATCTTATTTTTTAGCCATGAATTTTGAAATTCATGTAGGTTAAGAAATTTCTTTGGAGCTGCCATTTCATGCTGGTTTTTTAATCACTACATAGCCTGTAATACAGAGCCCAGGGAAACGTGTCCTCTGAACCTCTGTCCTCCTAGCCATCCCCCAGTTCACCTCTCACTTACCTGGGAGAAGGATTAAGAGGACTGAAATGAGGACTTGAGATCGCATCATGATGTTGACCTGAAGGACAATGAGAAGACACTCTGGTTGGCTGTCACTCAACCACACTGTGTCTGAGAAGGTCTCTCATCCTAAATGTATGAATCTCATAGGCCTCTCTGCTAGGGCCCCCTGTCTTTCCAAACAGCCTCTTCTTCCCAGTCCTTCCCCACATATGGCCATCAGTCTCACTCCTGGTCTTGGCACAAAAAGCTGGCAGACAGAGAAAATTTGAAGGCGGAGATAAGACTGTGTTATCTCCATTGAGAGAACCTTATGCAAGGACCAGTCTTCCAGTGGCGGTGCACTTGGCCTCTGGTGGACTCAGGGCTGTTCCTGCTCAGCAGCCACAGTGGTTGGTCCCTAAGCCCCAATCAAGTCCATTATTAGTATCCATGGACAAAGAAGAACGGAAGTGTTGTGTGTAAACACATTGTCCCATACAGACAAGGGTTTTGAAGTTTTCCATTTTAGGTCCACTGTGACCACTAATAGACTGGGGCTGAGGGAGTATGAACAAATACTACTCTCACTAAAACATTAATACTAGGCTGCTGCAATGGCTCATGGTTAAGAGTGTCCACTGCTCTTACAAAACCCTGAGAGAGGTTCCCAGCACCCATGTTGGGAGGCTCCCAACCACTAATCCTGGAGATGTAGAAGACCCAAACATTCCTTAGACACCTGTGCCCACACACACACACACACACACACACACACACACACCACCACCACCACCACCATCATCATCATCATCACACACAGCACACACAATTAAAAACAATAAATCTAAATCTTAAAAATGGTAGTTTGCTTATAATAACTTTAAAATCATATATTTATAGAACTATAAGGTACCTAGTTTACTATAGTCAATACTAATATATTAAAATTTTACTCATTTCATGTATTCATTTCCTGTCTTCAAGAGAATACATATGATTCTATGAATCTAGACACTATCAATGAATCAAAGACCTTTTGTCTCATGTAGCTTACATCTATCTAGAAAATAAAAATTTGCTTATAAAATCCAGAAAACATAGGATACACTCTTACCCTGCATGTATGAACACATGGACAGAGAGAAAAACAGCAAGGAGAGTGTAGAGCAACTAAGGGACCGTTGGCAGCAGGGCCGGAGGGCTGTGGATGCAATTCTAACTCAGTTGGCCAGGCCTAACTGAACTTTCTAATGCCTTCCCAGAGAAGGTGGGATGTGAGCAAAGCTGAAGAAGACGAAGCCAACCAGAGAGAGCTGCCACAGGAGAAGAAAGAGGGAGGGCAAAGGTCCAGATGCAGCAGAGTGCCTGTGACAGGGGAGGGTAAAGGGAGGGGCAGCAATGCACAGGATCAAGGGGAAGGCTGGGTATGGGACTCAGGAGACACTCTCCTTTTCACAAGGACACAGTCATTGCTGGGGTGGGAGTACCAGGACCTGGTGTCATCTGAGGACAGCTCTGACTGCTAGGGTGACAAATAAGGACACCTTAGGGTCCATGGCAGGAATTCAGTGTGGAAGAGACAACAGAAGGCAACATGATCAATGAAACCAAGACACTCATGTCAGTGTGCCCAGAAGGCAGAGCAAACAGGACTTCCTGTAGGCTGACGTCTAAAGAGGAAGAGTCCCTCAGGCCTGAGCCGTGCATGACAGGAGGGGATGTCAGCAGAGAAGGGAGGAGCTGCTCCCACCACAGGGTTTCCAGAGGATATTCTGGGTTTGAATCATGCTAGTCTGCAATATCTTTGGGACTCAAAGCTGGACTTGAACTCCTGATCCTATGCCTCCATCTCCCAAGGGCTGGGATTGAAAGTATTTGCCAACATGCTAAGGTTTATTTCTTTCTTAGTTTATTTCTTTAAATGATTGAAGTACCAGTGTGGGAGCTGGGTATATGAGCTGGTAGATGGCGGGCTAGTGTTTATGAACCCCTAGTTCCATCATCCACATCAAATCAGGAATTGTGCTCTAGGGCTGTAATTCAAGAACTTAGGAAGTAGAGGATCAGAACTTCAAGGTTATCATTAGGTACCTATCAATTTGGAGGCCAGTCTGGGATACACAAAGGCATAACTTAAAAGAAAACAAAAAGGTAAGACCTAAGGATTTTATGGATATCATATTAGCAATCAGTAGGCTAAGAAAAGAGGATTGCAATGAGATCCAGGCCAATCTCAGCTGCAAAGTAAGTCTCCAGGTCCAAACTAAACAGAAGTCCCGTAACAGTGTGTGCATGTGTGATCTGAAGAGTATCCAAGCTACTATTGAATTCACCTTCCTCCTGCCTCAGCTCTTGAGTTGCTTTTCGACAAAGCAGAAGAGTTTTACTGAGCAATGGAAGGGTGGAATCCAGCACCGAAGAAAATGGTGTTAGCTCAGACATGAGTGGAGTCCCAGGGTGTCTGCAGAAGCTGTGGGCTGACGGCTTCCACACTGAAGGAAGAAACTAACCAAGGGCCAGGGAGATGGATGGCTTAGTGGGTAACGCCACTTCCTGCGAAGCTTCACAGCCTGAGTTAGATCTCCCCCCAAGTACTGACTGGTAAAAGAATAGACTCCTGAAAGTTGACCTTTTACACACACACACACACACACACACACACACACACACACACACACACACACACCTGTAATAAGAAGCAAGTTCAGCGTAAGACTTCATAATTGTGAGGATCTATTCAGTATCCACTGAGGCATATTTGCTATATTATATGACTTGTTTTAAGGTCCCAGTAAGCACAGGGAGGGATGGAGGGGTGGGAGGGGCTTCAGGACAGTGAAAGTACAGCCAGCAGCACCTGGGTGGTGAGAAGCACATGATCAGGACCGACAGACAGCCCAAGAAGAAGGACCCCAGCCACCAGCAGCTCCAGCCTTGGGGAGGAGTGAAGGAACCCCTTTAACAGATACAAACATTTAAAATACAGTTTTAAACTTTTCTCTAAAATTTCCTCTGTAGGTAAAGACTTCAGTGACTTCCCAGTCATTGGACAGCAAAGGCCAAGTCTAAAAGCTGCTCATCTTCCGGGGCAGACACTCCTTTCCCATCTCCAACATTCCAACTAAAGCAAAACTTAGTTACTCCTGTCCTTGGCTTCCTCACTGCTAACACAAAACCTCAAATGTCTGCAGCCAACTGAGGTTCTTCCTCACACTGCATACAGCTATTTTGTACAAAAGCTCCCATTCTGC